AAGTGTGCTTTTCAACATTCAAAATGAGAAAACTTCATTTATATCAAATGGCAGGCGTTGTGAAAGTTATCATTAGCCCTTTATTTGACTTCAGGCTTCACAGAGGAGAAGGAACATCAGAGTGAAACAAGTCGAGAGGGAGAGGGGGAACAGAAGAGAGTTTCAAAGATGTAAAAGAGAGAGAGACACAAAAGTAGAAAAAGGTGAGGTGAGTACTGTGAAAGTAGTCGAATATGACATCCAGTATGGTGATGGCAGTTTGCAGTCAGAAGTCAACTGCCAGTTAATAGACTTTTTTGCCGTATGAGTATACTTTGCCCAGGGTGCACCACGTAGGGGTAAGTCTATCGCACACTCCAAGTGCGAAAACTTGCTTTCAGCTATTTTGCTCTTGGTTATTTCTACTCAATCCTTTTGTAATCCCGATCTGCCAAAATAACCAAATAATTATTTACTTTATTTTGAAAGCTCATATTTTCTCATTTATTCGACATTGATATTTGTGTAAAAACATTACTGAAAGCTGTTTTTTTGCTAACGTGGACTGTGAGTTTACACCTTAACCTCCTTTCTTACTCTTCCCCCTCCCCCTCTTTTCAGGACTCTTCCCGACCTATGGATTTGGACGAGCATATCCGACGTCTTTCGGCAGTTAGTTTCCTGCCTCCTAAACGATTTGGCTTCAAGGATAGTCCAGATATTCTACAGTCTCCTGCTGGATCTTTCCGTCAGAAAATAAATACCAAAGCTACCGCTACTGGATTATCCTATAGATCTCGAAGTAGAAAGTACGTTTTCTTTGTGTAACGCCTTGCAGTCCCTTTATCTTGATACTATGGTGTTTGAATATTGACACATTTTCAACCCGCATTTAATTCATGCCATTACACCATTCTTTTTTTTGTACTAACGGGGCTTGAAAAAAAGCTTTGCCTTTACGAGACAATGACATTTGAAACATCGAAGAGCTTACTGGATATTACTTAAAGGGGTGTATATAATGAAATAACCTTTTAATTGAATCCACAGGTCGCAGACGTTTAAGCAACCTAGATATCATCTTTATGCGGGAATTTGGAAATTAAATCCTAAAATTTTTGCTTCGTTCCACCGGACTATGTTTATTCAATATAAGTAGGAGATCAAATAAATTCAGAAATCAAATATAGCAAAGTCACTCGTGTTTTATTCTCTTTACTTTATCCCATTTCTATTCCTTTCGAGTCGTTTTGCATGCTTTATGTGAAAACGTTCTCTATCATTAGCCATACAAATAGCAACACGATTAACTTGTCAATCATGACTGTATGTTTGTCGTGTTCCTTGTTCTTGTTGGAGTCTAATAGCTTGCTAGAATAGTAAGTGAACATTGACTAGTCCTTTCGTGGTTACGCTAGCGTTTCTGCAGAATTTCCATAACTGTCCTTTAAGTTGGCTATCCTATAACCTAGGAGCATTTAAAGTAGTCTTTCTGATTACTGGAAATTGTATTGGGAAAATGGGACCTAGCTCAAGTCGAATTTGGCTATAATTATCTTTGTCTGCTCTCTCTCTAGAAACTCCGTATGCAAAGCCTATACTTCAATCCCGGGCATATTCGCTACCTCTTCTCATCTAACTCCACATCTTGACGGTTCTCTGGGCGAGGATACCAATGTCATTTCTATGGCTTTAGATGAACCCCTTCTTCCAAAAGTCTCTCTCACGCTTATGTGGACCGAAAAGCTAGAAGGTCAACTTCCTTACTTATTCCCAGCTACTCCTAACCGTGAGCCTTGCATTAACGCCATTGGTATGTTCAGCCAATAAATCTCACATAATAGTCCGCATCCTTGTACATATGTACCACTCTACTCTTTAGGTGATACCCCTAAAAATCCCCGTGTAGCAATCCTCTCAGGTCAACCCCAGGCCCGTTCTTCGCTGGCAAAAAGTCTTTTACAGCAGCCCCAGCAAACGCTCTCTCCATTCGGTCCTTATAGACCACGAGTCTTCCTTGCACGGGATTTGATCGATAGGTGCTATGTGTGCCTACTAAATGGACGACAGAGGCTGCTTTGTTTGAATGTGAAGGAGGTGACCGGGAAATTGGGTGCAAAGGATAGAGAGGATAAGCAATTCGAACTGGATTCACAGGTGACTTACCTTCCAGCTTTGGACGCTGTTTATGTGCCTGAATCGAAGCTGACTGTCTGCTTGGACCCTACGGACTCGATTATTTTGTACTCTGGAATCACTCAAGTATGTTTTTTTCGATTTCATTTCAACCTCTCTTATCCATTGCACAGGTTGAGTTTTCAATGTGTTAGGGTATCCAACCAGATATATTCAGTTAAATATCCCCATACAAGGTATTAAAATATGTATAACCCTTTGGTATGGTGGTCAGTACAGGTACCTGTGGCTCAAGAAGCTACGGGCACATATTCTCTTGTACATACAGGTAAACCAAGACACTTCGGTCCAATAACTTATTTGTCTGGTCCTTTTCAATTTCTCCCTTGACCAATCAGGACAGTTGTGAATTATTTATGAGCATGTTGGTTCAAGGCGCTCCCTGGCTTGTTTGTAATTATGCGAAGCATCCCCATAAGTAGATACAAGTACATAAGTATTATGCCAGTAAACTGAATTACACACGAAACATATTTTATCTAACATAGTTGTTCAACAGAAAGTACAGGCTATTTCCAGTGTAGAACTCGCGGTGATTTCTTATCTGACTTATTACGCTTGGCTTGCACTAGACTCTAACCCCCAGACCAAGGTGAGGAAAGTAGAAAAGCCATCTGAAGTATTTACTTATTAAGAAAAAACTAACGTTGATGTTTGTCAGAGTACCGTGAATGCCTAGATGACGTTTTGTACACTAATGACACTTTTTCCCAGAGATGAACGAGATGAGGTGTAAAATAACTTAACGCGGCCACACTGCAACCAAAATTGCGCCACTATTTCAAAGCATTTGATTTGGCTTTCAATTGGAACATTCTTTTGAATGTATTTATTTACAGATATGTATTCTGGGAGTACTTCCGGCTCTGGTATCCACAATGCCATCATCTGAAGGCTTGAATTCCAATAGTCTTCGTCCACTCTCCATCCTGCCCTCCAGGCTTGAAGGCGAAGTCTCGCTTGCCAACACTAAAGTCACCGACCTTCTTTCCTCCATCAGCCAAAATTGTGCAGATCTCAATGTGCCCGAAATGATTCTGCGGGAAAATTTGGGCACTTCTGTGAGTGGGGCGTATTTATTTACAAATTAGCATATTTAATTTAAATTTGGTTTTTTTATTTTATGCATTGATCTTAACCTTGTGTTGATTCACTTATATATAAATGATTTCATTGCCAAAACAAATAGTGCTCCAGACTTGTCTGTCAAGCCTATTTAAGGAAACGTTCTCTAACACTTATCTTGAGTTTAGAAGTAGCATCATTGAGCTTCCCTGTTGTCAACCTCTGATCATGCAGCCCTACTTGATATTCTCTCCCCCCTCTAGTCGAATTAGGCGTTATTAAATCTCCTCCTAATAGGCATCATGACCGGTTCTTTAATTGGGAAACTTCATATCAGAATGTCGTCCCTAAGGCTTCAGCCTACATTACCGTAAAAACTCTAATTAGTAGAAGGTGGGCTGGTTGTTTGAGCACTTAGCGATTTGCTACAAAACCAATTATCTTGTTTTCTTCGTTCCACTCGCATTTGATCTGCCTTTCGTTTAGGTATCACATCTCTACTCAATACATGGCCCTTCTCAGGGAGACAAATCGGAATCGACGTGGCGGCTGTGTCTGCCAGTTGGAAATCAGTTCACTCTGGCTCTTATGAAAAAACCTCTGGATGGAGGAGATGTTGGAGATGAGGTCTGCCAAAGAGAGCTGCAGATTCACCTTCCGCCTTTAGCTAACGTTACCATCGGTGAGCTGTCGTGTTGGTTTAGAAATCCCATATCTACTTTAATACAACAGACTCCTCTGTTATTCATCTTATATCAATTGGCGTTCAAGTCCATGAGTTCTCAAGCCAAAAGCTCGTAGAAAACGATAATAAATGTGTTTAACCTTTATTATCAAGTTGTGTAGTTGGTCATCATTTTTAGAACCGTTATTGTAGTTCATTTAATGGTCAAGAGAGTTGTGACCATCAGTGCTCTGCCTTTCTCTTTCATTGAATCTACATTCTCTGGTCTTTATCTGGCATTACTATAAGCCAACGCGTCTAGTTAGAAGTTGTGTATCATCCAGCGAGTATTGAAAGCAAATATTTAGCCTTATAACCCGTAAGTTCAAAAACGTTTACAGCTTTTCATTGCTATTAAGTAATCGAGATCGACCATAAAAAATCCGTTGGAAGATTTAGTTACTGGGATCAAGTAGGAGTTGAGAATAGGCAATCAGCGTATCAGAAGTCTCTGTTGCTTGGGTTTTTTTATTCACCTGCAATAGTTAGTTCAGTGCTTCGCATTTCTATGTACACATTCTGTGATTTTTCCGGAAATTACCGAACAATCTCTTGTTGACTTTGCTCAGTGCTTGTTGGTCAACTCACCTTTTTTTCGATGCACTGGATGAGTAGGATATAATAATCTAATTGCAAAAGGACTAAATGATAGAAGAATTTCAAATATGGCATGGTTCACGCAAGAAATATTCTAGTAATACTGCACATATTCAATAGGCCTATTTGCTGTACCTGTTCATTTGCGGATTGTATGAAAGTATATCAAGCGGGCTTAGACGAATACATTTAGAATCGGGTGTTTTAGAGAGGCTTCTTATTTGAGAAATCAACAGTATTTCTAGCTTGGACTCCGCTTTCCTCTCTTAATTTGCATTATTATTTCTACACTCATGTTTAGAATCAATAGGCTTGTAGATTGCAGTGCTCATGCCTTCCACAAATTCGCTTCGTAGACCGATTTAAAATGCCTTTTTTTCTATAGACTACTGATATTCGAAAAGTGTGTTCTCCAACTTTCGACTCAATTTTGGAGGCATGTGCCGCCACCTAATTGACCGTAGATGAAATTTATATTCCGTCGGTTTTTCTAATTACCACTGAAATCAGTTTTTTTCCTTTGTAGTTCAACATTGCCTCTCCGCTCTATGCTGTGGTCTACCTGACGAAACTGCTCTTGATCTACTCAGGCGTTGGTATTGCTATAGCAATCCACCAAATGCTACTGATTACGTCGATGAATTGGCCTGCTTTGCTCGCTTCATTCTTATAATACTCGGACTTATTCCTGAAGACGAATCACTCAATAAGCCTCTCTCTATGGAGACTGATGTTGACATCTCCACAAAACGTCTGAAGGATTCCGAGGTGGAGATGGTAGACAGGGATGTTATTCATCAGTTGTTGAATTCTCTTGAAGCTCATTCTGGAGATTTGAAACATTTGCTATTGCGTCATCTGCCGGATATCCTACTCTGTCTACATCTTGTTATTGAGGTAATTTGGACCATGTGAGCCGTGGTTAATAGTATCTTTTAGAATGATCAACTCGATACGATGTTGGTGGAACAAGTCAAATTTATGGCAACTTTGAACCACATAATTGCTATGTAAGTCGCTTTACATTTCCTTCATCTCCTGTTCATGTTTTTAAAGTTCGTGTCAAAACGTTAACTCCTATAGATGCCGGGATAATGTCATTCGTTTACTTTCTGAGAAAAATAGTTTAGCCAGTTTGAATGTTGGTAGTAAAGGCTTGTTTCTAGGGCTCAAGTTGGGACTTTTCTCAGGTACTTTCAGTTAAATGCATAAATGTAGATTTATATATAATTTAGCTGTTGTCTGTAGAGGGGAAATTTGTTCACTGAAAGCCAATTTTCTTCACGGCTGAAGGGACACAACCACATTTTACAATCCCATCCTATTTCGTTTGCAATGGAAAAAGTCTACATTTAAAGTTGAACTATTTAAAAATGAATTTTTTCAGAGAGTCAAAGTGATAATTTTCAAAACAACTTTGCAGGTATTACAAATGATTCAGCTTAGTTTTCACTATCTGAAAGTTTTAAGGGACCCTTAGGCCCTTATTATCTGAAATTCGTTGTTACAGTGAAAGTTAAAATTCGGAATCCACTTTATCTCTGCTTATATTTAGGTATGCCAGATTTTCCAGCTATGTAGAATACTATTCAACATCCGGCTTATCAGCCTTGACTCCGAATGATCTTGTTTGCATTCCTCGGTTACATTTGGAGACCATAAACAGTACTCTCTACTGGTCTTCTCATGCTAGATCGGCTTTTCTGTCGGTTCCCTCTTTGAATCGATATGTTATGTCTGTGTTATCTGGTGAGGTGAAATCTCCCTGCACTCCCTACCTCTATCTTCCTGGTGTCAATGATACAGCTGCCACTCTTGCAACCTTCGTAATTTGTGTTCAGTCCATGATTGAGGATATTGATTTCAGTCAAATTGAAGATCGTGATATTTTGCGCTTTTGGTCTGAGAAGATATCTCTGATTGGATATGAAAAAGGCCTTGATAAGGAGATAATGAAGAATCCTATCGTCATGGCTTTCATAGCAACTTTTCTTAAGACTGCTCTAAGTCAATTTGGTGCACCAGCCCCTAGAACATCATATCAACGAGCTCTTGTATTTCTCTCGGAATTAGATGCAGGTCTTACTAAAAAGTTGTCACAGATGCCAACCGCGTTCGCAAGTATCATTCATAGCACGATGGTCAAGTGTTTGGCCAATCCTCCACCAAATTGCTCACCCCATGTCTATCAAATTATCGGTCGTCATGATATAGCTCGACAATTTGAAATCATGAGGTCAAGCAGGAGCACGCATAAACAAAAGCTCTCTGGTCAAACTCTTCGTTCGAACAGCAAAACGGGTGGGATCCCCTCTAGGCAGTGGGATGAAATTACTCAGGAACGGGGACCTGCAGATCGGTGGTTTGGTCTTGTGCGACCCATTCTCACAAACCCTTCAACTGATGGAATGGTAGTTTCTCGTCATTTCCTTCTCAGCACACTGGAAAATAGCCCCGCCTGTCAAGTAGCGTTTGATGATCTTCGCTTACAGGAAGCCTACAAGATGTTGCAGACCACTAGTCATATATGGCTTCCTCGAAATTGTACTGATGAAAGCACCTTTGGTGGAAATTTATACAAAAGCGGAAATTCAAACAATATCAATCTTGATTCCGCGGCTCTTCTAAATATTTCAAAGGTGAGATTGGATATGCAGTTAGGGGCTGCTTGTGTCCGGACGTCGGCGCTACCCCTTGGCCGGGGTATGTTGGGCTTGGGGACAATTGTCTCTTCTCCACCTCCTCTTCTCACTGTGTATCCTATATGTCTTCGGGGACGATCTCTGCCTTCTTCAGCAGCAATACCGCAGCAGCATGACTTAGCAAGGGGTACTCTCCTGGACACTAGACGCGCGGCTGCTGACACACCTTCAGGCTTTGCAGCGTCGGATACGCCTGCCAATGCAACTGCCTTGGCGATTTTGTCTGCAGTGGTATCTACTGGATGTGCCAGCTCCCTAAAGGTAATATATTCCTCCACTTATTTCGAGGTCTTATTTTGTAGTCGTTTCGTTTTACGTCGTATTTCCTTTTGCGGGAGAGTTGGTACATATGATAGGGGATTTGAAGTTTCGGAAAAGAGAGAAAATTTCCTGTTGAATATCTTTGGCGTCTAGTTATTTTGCTTATCTTCACTAGGGCGATAGGATTGGGAGGTGTTGCAATGAATCTGCTTTAGTAGTAGTCTTTAGCGACGGAACAAAGAAGACCAAGGAGTATTATGAGGTTTTTGGATACTGTAGGTCTTTTTGCGATGAAGTGATGTGACAGAACAGTGATGTGACGTCTGTATAGTTAATGGTATTGAGTACAGAATCGGCTAAGGCTACTGCCTCAAGGAAAGAAGTGGTACACAACGATTACTGGAAGTTGGTCTGTGCTGTGAAATCATATGAACAACAACCATCAAGTCTATTTAGAAAAGTGCTTTTAAACGTCCATCTTATATAGGGAAGGGGGGAGGGTCATAGAGTGTACTTTATGTGTATAAAACTGTTATTCGTGACTATTTAGTTCAAGCACCTTTCTTGCAGACTGTCTGTTCCTTATCGCGCTTGATGGCTTCAAGCGAGGGCGTAGAATCACCAAGCGAGAATCAGCCTGAATCGTTCTTGCGTCGACTGATGTCCATTGCTTCAAGTGCAACGCTCTCTGCAACCTCTGCAGTTTCTTCTGGTACCATTATTCACTCACCAGCTGTAATGGCTGGTCAACATTGGCCAGAATTCCACAATGGAGTTGCTGCTGGACTCATGATATCACCTCAAACATCGGTAACTAGTCATTTGTGACTTCGTATCACTATAACCCCTGAATGCTATATTCCTTTGTACGTACTGCGTTGCCATTAATGTATTCTATTCTGTTCGTTGTGGACAAGTGCATTTAATATCTTAAGAGGCCGAGCGTATGTTGCAGGAAGATAGTCTAAATAAGCATTTATTTAAGAAAAATCATTAATAAGGTGTTAGCGAATAAAAATGTCTAGTCTAGTGTAAAAGATTGGAAGATGGATCTAGAAGTTTATTTATATCAAATGTCAGGCGTCTTGATGGTTATCATTAGCCCTTTGGTTGACTTCAGGCTTCACAGATGGGATGGAACATCAAATTGAAAAAAAGTCGAGAGGGGGGGGGGAGCAGAAGAGTGTTTCAAAGATGTAAGCGACAAACGCAAAGGTAGAACAAAGGTGAGGTGAGTACTGTGAAAATAGTCGAATATGGCATAGAGTGAGATGATGGTAGTTTGAAGTCAGAAGTCAACTGCCAGTTAATAGACTTTTTTGCCGTATGAGTGTACGTTGCCCAGGGTGCACCACGTGGAGGTAAGTCTATCGCGCACACCCCTGGATCAAGAAGTAGAAGAACTTTGTCACAATAGCCACTATCCTCTCTCAGTAATGGCTGTATCTTTTGTATTCTATTTCCCGTTGTTTCACGCTCTGCCAAACTAGTATAATTTCGGTAGCTACATCTACGTCCTATTTCTCAATAGTAACGTGATGGGAGACTTTTAAGTTATTTATTAGTAATTCATTTCGATAGAAAGTAGGTTAGTATAGAACTCATCTGTTATACATTTCTTGAGATCGAGCTTGGAAGACCATATATTACTTTCTATCTAACTAATTAGTGCGCTGAGATTTATATGTGTAATTTTTTAGTAAATTTTACCTAACATGCATAATAATGTCGAACAAATTTACGTTTGGTTGCTGATAAGTGCCATTGATTTGACGCCTTTATCCTCTAGATCGATGCCACATGGATAGTTCAAAATTACAAAGCAATCGCATTGGGCGCTTCTACGAGCATGGATACATTGAACGCCACATCGCCCTCTGCTTGTCCCTACTCACCTGCCCAAGCCGGTTTCCTTTATGGTCTTGGGTTGAATGGTCATCTCAATAAACTAACCCCTCACTATATACGTGAATTCACCATTCAGGTGCACGACCTCACCAACGCTGCAGTCATGCTTGGTACTCTCACCTACTTACTAAATTTCAGTAGTATGAATGTTTGGATTATGCTCTTCGAATTTTTTTAGGACTATGCGCTGGTAAAAGTGGGAGCATGGATCAGGGTGTTCTTCGGCTTCTTGCCGTACATTATCGACCTTTACTAATGCCGGAGCCTGTTCTTGTTGACATGAGCGTCCCTTCATTATGCCAAGCTGCTGCCGCATTTGGTTTGGGTCTGTTATTCAAGGGTTCAGCCCATCGACATATAGCCAACATCCTTCTAACAGAACTCGGCCGTCCATTGAGTACTCAGCAAACCACTTCAACTGCTGGGAATGCTGTTATCACAAATGATACTAATAATGAAGGTGGAAACAATAATGACGCTGGTACTAACGATCCAAATGCAAACAACGATGCTAAGTTTGCTAACGCTGGCGGTTCAGGCGGTTTCGCTGGCGAAGCTCGTGAACTTATTTCCCTTTCCGCTGGTTTTGCACTGGGTTTAGTTCTCCTGCAGGTTGGATTTTTTCATTACTTAGTCACTTTTATTAGTTTCCCTAACTTGTTTTTATTTATTTATTAGCGTGGTGAGACATCGAGTGGTTTATCAGACTTATCCTTTGCCCACATATTGCGTGCCTACATGACAGGAGACCGAAGAGATTCCACTGTTTATCATCTGGATGCCGGTTTCGGCAGCTTAAATCAGACGGTTGATGTCCTCTGTATTGATATCCCTCGTCCACCTTCAGGTTATCCTCTTGAGGCCTATTTGCAGCCTCATCTACTGGCGTCTACAGAAGGTCGCTCCCGCTTAACTGGCTCCAAGAAACCATGTCCTCGAAACACTTCCATCCTCGCTACGCCAAAGGTTATCTCAGAGATGTCTAAAGAGGAGTTGGCTGATTTAGGTCTCACAAGAAACGGGGCGAAATCGATTACACTAAACGAGTCAACCGCTTTGGTATCTGCTGAGGATCCATTAGATCAATTGATCCGCGACACTTTCCGTCAAAGTCACGAGTCTAAACAGCAGACGGCCAGGGATACTTCCGTCTCTCCAAGAGTTACGTCGACTGTACGTGGTGGAACAGGGAATAATCCCCAGCATCAACAGCGTCAAAAAACAGCCCTCATCGGTCAGAGTGCAATTTTAAATCAGAGTCAGCAGATTAGGGAGAGGGATGCCTATAATAGTGATGTTTCTGCGCCTGGTGCTACTATCGCTCTCGGGTTTGCATACCTTGGAACGGGGAATGCAACTATCTCTGGATGGTTGAAGGCACCGAACTCTTTCAGAGAACTTGACATGGTTAGACCAGATATACTCGCTCTTAGGACTATTTCGTGGGGTCTAGTGAACTTTGGTGACGTTGTGGCGACAGCTAAATGGATTGAGGTTTGTCATTTTTTAGACTGTGCTCCGAATTTTCTACTCATATTTGATATTGTTTTTATATGCTTTAATGCAATAATTGAATTGTCGCTACTGATTGAATGGATATTGGTTCGTGTAGAAAGCCGAACCATATTAGAATACGCCACGTTTACGATCACTGTTTTTTTTTGATACAAGAGGCCGTTTAAGAGTCGTCGAGTGGCAATTGGAACAGAGCAAATATATTTGCCCTTCTGAAGTTCCGCAGATTTTTTTCTGGTATCTATTTTAGCTTTCCCCATGTTAGCTCCATTTTAAAAGTTGAACTGCCAAATCCCATTGGGCTGGCAGAGCAAGTTCATTCATGAACGTTATGTCCAACTGAACTGATTGACACTCATTTAAGAATATTTTATTTTACCTGATAAGTTAAAAAATACGCTATTCCTCTTCTCGGAGGTGTGTATTTTCAAATTTAAGTTGCAGAGAATTTTTATTAATCATTTCGTTTTTTTCTTCACTACAGAGTAGACTCCCAGCCTGCATTATTAAAATCCTCACTCCAGCGTCACGAAACGAAGGGCAGACTACCACCTCTTCCTTGGTTATGTCTACGGAGACTGATGTCGAGAACAGAAGTCCTCGTGGTCGTGTACCTTCAAGTGAATGTAAGAAGTCAAGTAGGAGTATACGACAACCACTCTCGCCAAAACTGCCAGTGGTTCAACTTGAAACTCCTTACTCCTTACCAGAGTCACCCAAGTTCTCTTCCATCGACTTTTCAACTGTTGCTCAAGCATATTTGAATATTCTAGTTGGAGCTTCATTTGTGATTGGTCTTAAATATGCTGGAACTTGCGATTCGGATGCGTCTGAGCTTCTGGTAAGTATGGCCGTATGTGAAGACTAGTTTATGTTTACTTTGAAAAGTGGAGTGAAATTTACTACAGAGGTTGTCTCCCTGAACTTTTGAGCAGACAGAGAACTGTTGGGTTAGATCAGTTGCTCATGTGTGCTATTAATTTGATGAAGAAATTGTGGTCATATCTTATTTTGACATGAATACCTGAATTGAATAAGTATTTTATGCTTCATTTCCATTGAAAAAAGGAGGTTTTAGTCTAGGGTGGTGAATAGCAGAGTCATCGTTGGGCCTAAAGCCCAACTAGAAGGCTTTATCTCACAGAGGCTATGATGAAAGATTTGAACTTTGTGTAATCCGGCTTTCAGATGAAAACGGTTGGAATCATGACTTTGAGAATGGAGAAAGTACGAATTGATGATCTTATGAAAACTAGATAACCACTTATGTACTCAAGCAAGAACACGTAAAGTAGGAATGTGGAAACTTCGATATTTGGACAAGTTGCATATAAATACTCCATCTCTCTGATGAACAGTTTCTTAATACTTAACTGTCTACTGGTAATATATATATGTAATGACATAAAGCAACAACTCTATTTGCCATTGAGTCCTAACAAATGATTGATTAAACCTGTTTACCTTAGTCGTATGTCACTCGAAGTTTTCCATTTCTATGTTTCCTCTCTTTAGCATAAAATAATCATTAGCATCCTCACTGGTGATTGGTGGCCACCAAATCGCAACAAGTTTGGAATCAGCGGTACTGACATACCGCCTCGTTTGTTGGATCTACCTCCAATGGAGCAGTCAATACGACAAGCGGCTGCTACTGTTCTTACAGCTCTTGCAATGGTTCTGGCTGGTTCGGGAAATCTCACAGTTCTCCGCATGGTGCGCAAGTTGCGATCTATCCGCTTCTTCGGCCACTGCCCTCAAAAGGTCACTGTGTCTAATTATGTGTCCTCTACGTGGCCGTCACCAGCTGAAACTGCACGGCTTTTCCAGGTAGCTGCAGCAGTTGCTCAGACCATACCAAATGTCCAACCAAGTGGAAATATTAATCCTTCCAATCAGCCTGTTTCTACAGCTGCTGTGCTGGGTTCAGTGCTAGGTCCAGATTTTGGCCTCCAGATGGTCTATGGGAGTGTTATTGGTCTGCTATTTTTGGGAGGTGGAAGGTATGAGTTCTTAAAAGTCTCTGTGTATTACGGCAAAACATTTGCACTTAAAATATGATTTGTTATTTAGATTAACTCTCTCCAATTCACCAGAGGCGGCTGCTCTTCTTACAATTGCATTTTTCCCTCGTTTTCCCATATATTCAGGTGATAATTGGTAAGATTTTCTCCTCTTTAATCTTGCAGTTAGAAATCTGATCCTTTGTAAAGTTGGCGACTCGCTTTAACTTTTTACTATTTTTCAGTCCTTGCTTTAATATTTCTTCCCAGACCTTCGTTTATTAAAGCGCCTATTTGCATATGGATTGTGATTTGATTTTACATAGACATTCGTTTCTGGTTCCTGCTTCTTTTAATAAAACCTATTACTTGGTATAATTTATGTCTATCAGGTACCACTTGCAGTGCCTACGACACCTCTACGTCCTTGCTACGAAGCCTCGCCGTCTTTGTGGAGTGAATGTTTTGACGAATCAAGTGGAACAAGTCAGTTTGAAGTACTGGTACAAGGTTAGTTCAATCTCCGCAGTGCGTACTATAACAATAGCATATCTACCTACGATTAAATTTTGTCTATTTTTCCTAGGATAAGAATGATTGCCTTGTCTCCAAGAGAACAGCTGTTTTCACATCAGACTTTTGGGAGCGTGGATCTAGAGTACGTGTCGGCTTATTAATTTTTTGTATTATCATGAAAAGACAGTTGAATTATCATTGAAGTTTGATTTGATTTCTGTGTGGTCATCCAATTACAGCTGACGATTTTCTTGGGAAAGGAGCTTTAATCGACTCTATTCTATCTCCAAGACTATTCCAATAGTTCTTAAAGATAACTTCATAAATAAACGTTATTCTTAATATAATTATTAAGGAAGAATGTAATAAAGTTTATTTGTCGCTAAAGAAAAGGTATCTAATAATTTGTGTACTTTTATTTTCTTCCTGACACTTTACAAACATCTTTAGCATCTGTGTTTTCTTGTGGCAGGAATATTTTTTTGAAGTATACCCTGATATAGCCTCATGACAAATTTTCCTATGATAAAATTAATAATGCACTTTTGAATGGCCTTGCTAGATTCAACTCTCCTGTGGTAAGGTGGCAACAAATTTCGATCGAGATACGGCTGAATGGAATTTGCTCAAGTTCGTTAACAAACTACTCTCTCTCTCTCTTTGGTGTTATCACCTTCTAGATAATTAGATCTTCCATTCATTGTAGGAGGTCACTTCACGAATCTGGATTCTTCTTTGTCACCAAAGAGCCCTTCCCAAGTCCTTACACGCATTTCTTAAAGAATGTAAGTTATAGCCGCCTATTTTGATTAAATAACTGGCCAATAGGTTGAAGTGTGTCTCTTGAATTGGACAAACCCCTCGCAAGCTTGGCAACTACGCATGATGGCCAATTACTTGAAGTCTGAACGGCATTCGCAGAGCAACTCAGAAAATATATTCACTTCATCTGGTGCTCTTGCTCAAGCATTGACAACTCGATTAACTCAGCAGTTCCTTCTTAATGCTAAAGGTTGTTTAATTTTTCAACTCCTTTTTTACCTGAAAACTTATTGCTTTTTGTCAATCAAACGTAAAGTTTACTTTTTCACCTTCTATTAATTTTGTGGTCTCGCTTGCTAGCAAGTATAATGTTTGCATTAAACATGTGAATTGTTTCCTTTTTATCTCTTTTACATTTGATCTGTTTGTCCGGTATTCAAATGGACATGTTCGTTGGGTAGAAGGCCAAGAGACAGCATACTTATCAGCTACATACCTTCAGCAAAAGTACAAAATTTCATTCCCGTTTAAAACCACCGAGTGGGGTCGGCTTAGTGGTAGAGATTCCCAATGGTGGGGCTGCACTGCTTTTCAACATTCCTAGGGCTTATTTTAAGAGGAATTCTTAGACTTGTATGCTGTGAAGGCAAATAGACCTTGAAACCCACTATCTGCTCCAACTATGATAGTGAGAGCTAAATAGTATTCGATAATGGATACCAGAGTATCTTAGACGATACAGTTTATCGGCAAAAATTAACTCAATGGCTTCTTTTCGCAATTTGCAGATATTCAAAAAGGCCTACAAGTATACTTCTTTGGAAGCGGTGAGGAGAAACGAGCATTGTCGTCATGCATCCGAGCAAAGACAACGAGTTTCCGTATTTGGTTCTCGATTTTCTCAGCCAAGCTTATCAGACTTCACCTTCCCACCGGTACGTTTTGGCTTTCATTCCGTTTCCTTTCATTGTGGTTTCCTTTAATTTTTTCTTCTATTTATACAGATAGTCGGGCTTCGATTTCCCAATTCCTGGTAGCGATGAGACCTATCAAAGATGATGTTGATAAACAAGCTCTCTATTGGTTGCACAAACTTTTATATCAATGTTCATAAGATTTGCCTTGAATGAGTTGAAAAACTGTTTTATATAATCAAATTATTATATATTGCATAACTCTTCTTTCATCTTAAACTGGGGTTTTAACCTTCATAGAATCATAAGGTATTTTTGGCCTTCAAAGGTGAGCTGAAATGGGTGTATTAATTCTTAAAATTTTCAACGTTTAGGTGCGTTTTATGCACAGTTCCCAAGGTCAGTTCTTTAAGTTCATTCGTGTTATTAATGGCTCCTCGATTAGAGAACTGTGACATGAAAGACTAATAAACTGAATGGTATACAAAATCCCAAAATGGATAATATACGAATATTTACGATTCTAACCTTGAAAATTTAGTCTCCTCATTAAAAGTTCTGAATGTCAGTCTTATTGAGCATGAGTTGTTAAATTGTGAAAAATAATAATAACAATGATAATTTACATGCATCTTTTATTAATGAAAAACTAATATTGCCAATTATGTAAAACATCCTGTCTTCGCATTTGTGACTTCTTAATTATAAGGTTTAAGCAATCGAAGCCTTTAATTAATTTAGCAAAACGTCCTCCTTAAAAAGGCTTGCTGATGAAGCTTTAGGTCTACATTCTTTGAATTAGTAGGCATAAAACGCATGCTAGCATCTGACTGGATGAAATTTGACACTGCATGATCATCCTTACTACACTAACTAATATGCCTTCCGTTTTTTTGGATAAATAAATAAAATAATCTAGAATTTTCAATGTATTTATTTTTGGCTACCAAGGACATTCAGGGTTAGTGTTATATTGCCCGTAACTGCCAATAAATTTGTCAAATTTTGAATGCTGAAGTTATTAATCCTCTGCCCTCAGTCTCTTAAGTCACACTATCTGCTCACCCGTGACGGTCTGCTGGGTGGCAAAGTACTTCAATATATTACTAATTGGTTGGGCTCACATGAAAACAATTTGAGTGAAGCCTCAGGGATAATTTTAAACTGACATATTTCATATACACTTTAATCTGCCGTCAAATTAGTTAAACAATTTTTCAGGAAACATGTTAATTTTTGGATATCCAAGCATTAAGTACAGTAATCAGGCTGTGAGTAAAAGAATATTGAATTCAAATTCTTAACATCATATTAATTTCACTTTTAAACACTTGAAAACTTTGTTTAGAGGCACAAATGTCGCCTCCGGTAGAACTCCGGAAATGGGTGAAAAAAATTGCTTCAGGAATGAATTCAAGCTTTTCATGGAATGAAGCGATTCAGTTGAGAGTGTGCATCGGTGAAACTGTTCAAATATTCAAAGGAATAAGCGAAGGGGGCGTATTTCTCATTTGTAAGTGGCAACGTTTGCAAGGTGCACTTACAAGAGTTAATATCGCGGTTAAATTTTTTACCACTTCAAAATAACCTTGAATGGAAATCCACTTACTGATAGCATTTGCTTGATACAAACTAAATCAGTTCCCTGCCTTCAATAGACGCTAAATTATATTTTCACAAACTAGGCTTTAAGACTGCACTTTTAATTATAGCTAAAAGGTTCCAATAGGATGCTAATCAATTGCAATGGCATGAAAAAATTCAGATTTAAGCAAACAGGTCAAAGAATTGTGGATATTGTGGACATAATGTTACACACTAAATGAGGAGTAAGCTTGCCAAATGTGGGCTTTAAAGGATCATTGGCATTGGTCCTTGCAATAATACGAACAAACGCAACTCAGACTCAATTACTCGCCTCTTAACACCTTCTCTATTTTCAATAATAATATTAATAATAATAATAACATATTCAGTTGTCTATTTTAACTAAAATTATTATTAGTTTGTCCGTCCCCCCCCCTCCACCCCATTTTGGGGGTTCGAACTGAGTATTCACTGTACATTTGAGTGAAATTCACTTTATCCTTATCTATCGCCTCGGTGAAATCAGGGTTTGGTGAAATGCCAATTTATTTGAAAGTTTACTGGCACCATTTCAATACTTTGGATAATCTCATAAGGACTCATTATGGCGAATTAAAGAACCGGTTCTAATTATATTTTATTTACTTTCAGTGGATTTCAACGCAGGGTTTTATTACGACTGCGCTGTTATACAAATCCATGCAGTTATATTCGATTGATTTAATATTCTCAATTTTGCATATTACGGGTATTCGCACTGCCTTTTATTAAATTTTACACTTATAATAATCTTAACTGCACTTTCTTTATTACTTTGCTATTTGTGGGGCACGTAATCGCTTTGTACGTCAACGCATGTCTGCACGCCAGGATTGGGAGGTGCGGCCGCACAACTCTGTGTGCAGCGACCGTACAAACAGTGACCAATCATCAACCTCTGTTTAATCTAATCCCCCATCCTGATCATGAGTAGCTCCATGCGTGTACACACTTGATCCGCAATATACGTGCTGAATAAACGTGCTCAATGCTACACGTCTGTTTCCTTTATTGCAGGGCTATAGCTAAGCTGGTTCTGGGAGTCTAGCTAGATGTTGGAGAATCTGCCGTTCTGGGAGTCTAGCTAGATGTAGGAGAATCTGCCACAGATATAAACGCGCTCCGTGCTACACGTCTGTTTTCTTTATAGCTGAGCTATAGCTTAGCTGTTCTCTAGCTAGAGGTTGGAGAATCTGCCATAGAGATTTCTGATTCCTAGCTAGATGTTGGAGAATCTGCCATAGAAATTTCTGAGCCGGTAGCTAGATGTTTGAGAATCTGCCATGGAGATTTCTGAGTCGGTCTTAGATGTTGG